TGCTAGTACTGAAATGTGAAAAGTGAATTTCAGAAGATACCATTTGATGCCTGAGATCAAATACTTCATGTTAAAAAGAAAGAAAGGAAGGAAGGAAGGAAGGAAGGAAGGAAGGAAGGAAGGAAGGAAGGAAGGAAGGAAGGAAGGAAGGAAGGAAGGCAGGCACTAATAATTTTGAGAAAATGACATCCCAGATAAGGGCAAAGAATAACCAAGGCACTGAGTCAGGACATAAAAAGGAACAAAACTTCAGTGGCTGAGCTGAAACCTGAAAGCTTAGATGGACAGAGGGGAATAATAGAAGCCCACAGTGGTGCTGTGAGAAGCCTGGAGCCAGGCTCCCTTCTTCTATTGTTCCAGCTTGGCAGGTGCAAGCTTGTGGTTGACAGGACCACTCCTCTTTACAAACAGTCTGCTAATTGGGAAAGCATATCAGCCTTGTGATGTGATAGTTGCCAAGTAGAGTTAACATTTAAATACTTAAAAAAATCATAATCCTCAAGAGCTCACCTGTACTTGGACCAAAATAGACAATGCCACCAAGTGGTACAGAAAATCAACACCCTTTGAAAGCTCTGTCCCACAGCCACACAAGATAAGCAGTGGGTTAGAGAGGCCAGGGGGAGATTTGAAGGGAAAGTCATCACAGATGTATGTATACATATGTTAAATTACAACATGAGACACAAAGGTGGACCTGCAGCCAACCAGTGGACCCGATCAGGCATCTGCAGTGGTTGATGGGAAATGTTGCCTTTTGACAAAGACATAACCCTTTTGCATTCATGCACCAGAGTATCTGGCTGCTGGTTTTCTGTTCTTAGATTATGGGCTGCCAACTCCTACATGCAGAGTAATGAACTAAAAGAGTACTGTAATGAATGTCGGTAGCCTTTGTTCTTAGGTATATTTGAAATAAAATGTGTGTACTTCTCCCAGAACATTCACATACTACAGGGAATTTGACAAAAGCATACTACTCCACAATCAGTGGATAGCCCGGATTCACCACTTAGGTACCATGTAGCTTTTGGCAAGGTTTCCCTAAAAAATTAATAATAGAAGGGATTTCTGTAGAAAATTAAGCTTTCAGATACTCCTTCCTCAGCTTCCCCAGGGCTAGGATTTAGATAATGGTTTTTGTGACACATTACACTTCCTGGCATATGCAGTAGAGATCTATTGTGCATTTGTTTTACTAAAGTTGCTACTACAGCTTTCTATGTGGTAGCAGACATGTTTTGTTTCTGTTTTAGATGGGATTCCTAACCAGATGTGTAGCTAGAGTTTTCCTGCCTGACCCAGAGTCAGGACAAATCTTTATCACCCGCCAGTCCCACAGCTGCTCAGACCCAACCAAGTAAACACAGAGACTTATATTGCTTACAAACTGTATGGCCATGGAAGGCTTCTTGCTAACTGTTCCTATAGCTTAAATTAATCCATTTCCACAAATCTAGACCCTGCCACGCAGCACGTGGCTTACCGGCATCTTTACATTCTGCTTGTCAGGGTAGCAGCTGGCTGTGTCTCCTTCTGCCTTCTTGTTCTTTTATTTCTCTTCTCTGTTAGTTCTGCCTATACTTCCTGCCTAGCCATGGCCAATCAGGTTTTATTTATTGACCAATCAGAGCAATTTGACATACAGACCATCCCCCAGCACAGCCAAGTGCAGACCATCTCAGACACCTGCACTCAGGCCCATGGTCCTAATCATCCTCTATGTGGACCTGCTGGGTAAAGCCACAAGGAACCCAAGAACAGGCTCCCACAGGACATACAGAACATCCCACAGCACAGAAGCTGGCCATTTCTTGCAGGATATGGCTAAGGAAAAGAGCAAACTACACACTGCTATAAACTAATGTGTTGGACTTCCTGAACACTGGAGTATTTGTGTTCATGTTTGAAACCATCAGAAGCTGAGCTTTTGGGTGACTTAGATTTTCAAGGCATATTTGACTCCACATGTGATACAACCTAGAGGCTAGAGTTGGCCTTGAACAGTTGGCTTAGCCAAGTGTGTAATCTTGTACTTTCCCCTTTATTTACAGAATTTGCTAAGATATTCCTGGCTGTATGATTAAATATTTCTTAATATCATTTATAAGATCCAGAATTCATATTCCTCTTGGGAACACAATAAATCATTTATTTATTGCTCAGGTCATAACTCTTAGACAATCTAGTAAAAGGAATTTCAGGCTTATTTACAATTAAAGTGTGGGTCAAGTAGTCTCTATTTGAGTGTTTTACATTACAGGATTTTTTTCTTAGTTTTTTTTTTCTTTTAGATATTTACATATGTATAATTAGATAGCTGGAGGATTGTGACCCATTCCCTTTCCTCAAATTTACTGATGTTTCATGCCGGGTGGTGGTGGCGCACACCTTTAATCCCAGCACTCGGGAGGCAGAGGCAGGCAGATCTCTGTGAGTTCGAGGCCAGCCTGGGCTACCAAGTGAGTTCCA